ATGGATATTGGTTGGGAATTGATGTTACACCCACCATATAGCCCTGATCTCGCGCCATCGGATTACCACTTATTTCGATCCCTGGACAACTCCCTTCGTGGTGAAACTTTTAATGATGATGACGATATAAAATCTCACTTAACTCAGTTTTTGGCCGAAAAGGATCAGACTTTCTACGAGCGTGGAATTTTCAAGTTGTCAGAGAGATGGCAAAAGGTCATCGAACAAAATGGAAAATACATTACAGATTAAACTTCCTTCCAAGTAAAAAAAAATTTTTATTTGATTGAGCAAATCGGCAATTACTTAGTTGCCAACCCAATATTACACCGATCGATAGCTAGCGCAGGAAAACATCATTTGGCAAAATGTCAACCCTGTAACTTGGGTTAGTTACATACAGGGGGGGGGGTAGTTACAGGGAAATTATACCGCGTGCTATTTCGCATATATTCTCTTTCGGTGCCTTCTTAAAATTTCGAAAAATCCAATAAAATTGTCCAATATGTGGCCTGTCATCCAAAATACAGTGGTGTGAATAATCTTAGCCTCAAAATAACTTTTTACACTTTTAGTGATATTTAAACAAAGACTTAGCGATATATCATATTTGTAAGTTTTTATTTTCCATTATTTCTAATATAGAAATATGCAAATATAGTTTTTTCTTGGTTTTTGTTTAAACGTCTGTGAAAAATGTAAAAGTTATTCTCAGTTTATAATTATCCACAGCATTGTATGTGGTCTCTTTTAGCTGAGTTATCCTGTATATTAAAAAAAAAACTTAACAAAAATCATATTTGTATATTTCTATATTAGAAATAATAGAAAATAAAAATATACAAATATAATATTTCGTTAAGTTTCCGTTTAGGTATCGGTAACGATGTAAAAGTTACTTTGAATCTACAATTATGCACATCATTGGTAAAGAGCCTAGCCGGATAAGATGGTCAAATCTGCCCTCACAGGATACTCGACGAATATTACACGGTTGAACAGCTGGCCAAGAAAAATCTCTTTACGCAAAATTTCAACCCCGAGGGTGAGGGTAGTTACAGGGCAAAATATATCGCGCGCTATTTCGTACATTTTTCCTTTAGGCGGCTTTTTAAAATTCTGGAAAACGAGTGACATATTTTAGTACGGTTCAGATGTTTCGGTTGCAAGCTGTGCAAAAAATGAGAAACCAAAAAACAAAATCGTAAAAGGGTAGATTTTTCAAAAGCTAAAAATTGTGCCGTTGGTATTTTAATTCTTTGATAATGTACTACTACAAATACCTGTATAAATTTTTTTCAAATTCTTTACAGGGATGCATTAAGGTGAACAAAATATAGAATTTTGGACGTTTTTTTTTCGTAAGAAAATAATTTATACTTAAGTTTATCCACTCGATAAGTATATTGGATCGCTCGTTTCGTTTTTACACGAGAATGATAGACTTTTCAAGATAGACTTTTAATAAATTTTTTAATGATCGGAGTGAAAAGAAAGAAAGCTTTTCGACATTTTTCTGGTGGCTTTGAAATTTTATTCTCGTGGAAATTCTGTTTTTTATTGGCAAAATACTGAAACAAGTAACACCCTTACGAAATCACTTTCTGAACGACCTAATATTATACAGGGTATCCCAGGTTTTAATGTTCAAACTTTGTCAGTGTATTCTATGGCACAAAGTAAGAAAAAAATGTTATGTAAACATAGGTCATATAGAGCTTTATTAAGAAGTTATAACAAAAATTCAGAATAGGAATAGTAATCAACTTGCTGTTACTGCGAGCATTGGCTTGAATAGATCAGCACATGCCGTGTGTTTATGTAAGCTGTGTTTATTAATACATTTCGAAATGTCTACCGTTGTTGACAATACATGATTGACATCGATCGAAGATCGAATTTATGACCGTGCGAGTTTCGTTTCTATTCTCTTTCATTTCATTGAACGAATTTTTGTTATAACTTCTTAATAAAGCTCTATATGACCTATGTTTACATAACATTTTTTTCTTACTTTGTGCCATAGAATATACTGACAAAGTCTGGACATTAAAACCTGGGACACCCTGTATAGAGTTAAACGTTTCTACCATGAAATCCGGCTAGGCTTTTCCTTCTCGAATAACATCACAAAGAGACATCGAGTTTTCGAAGGGAAGAAATACTCACTAGTCTTCCTGGTCACCCTGTAGGGAGTCTTGTCGACCGGTGGGGATGAGATTGGTGCCGGGGCCTATTCCGGGCCCTCGACGGTATCTTGGTGGACGGAAAATGAATCTCCTAGTGTCGACTTCGACGTCCGTTGGAGTGCTGACAGGAAACCTTGCTGACATTGGATCGACACCGGCTTGCTCCTCCTAAAAGTCGTTCACAACTTTCAACGAGTCTGTCGAGAAATGCGAGAAAGAACGTGGGAAGAGAAACGCGAAAGAGTACGTACATCTCGGAGAGGAAAAGTGATCTCGAGATTCTCGCTGAAGTGGTTCGCGAACTCCGGATAGAGAGCGAGAACGTCCAGCAGATCGTCCCTGTGTATCTTGTGCAGGTCGCAGTAGGTGAGAATGCGGACGTCGCAGGATGACTTGCCGACGGTGGTGTAGATACAGGGGTTCTCTCCGAATATGTCGTCCTTGCCCAGGATCGCCATCACCACGTCGTTCTTTACTATCTCTATGCTGCCGCGCGATATGAAGTACAGGGACGTGAGAACGTCTCCACGATGAACCAACGTGTCGCCGGGCGGTGCGTGCGTTGTTTTAAATTTTAACGATAATGCTCTGCGTAACACGGGCACAAAACGATCCGTTAAACAACGTTGGGAAAAGACATGGGAATGGGAATTATACCCGTATTTTTCTGTTGACAAATGTATTCGGACACCTTTTAACCGTTTGCGTACCAGATGGTTCTGAAAGAAACAGGATCGAAAAGCGCCGAAGAGTGCAATAGCGCTCCTTCGATTATATGTCGAAAAAAGCCGTAAAACATAAAATAAAACGTTACGAATGAAAATATATATACTATTAATTTAGAATAGGTAACAACAAAATGCAAATTGGATTACTGACAGCGATGCGACGCGCGACGTATACATGCGTCTGATAGACTGAGCACGTTTCGATAAATTTCGGGTGGGCCGTAAGTCGTCTGTTTCGGCCAAATGCCCTGGCTTTTCTCGACACAAAATCTGAAGAGCGCAAAAGTGGCTCGTGGTACGCAAACGGTTAAGAAGCAATAACTTTTTTCAGACGACCAGATGACTGGAATTTGTTTTTAGATGATGGAAGGAGTAGTTTAATTGGACAGTGACTAAAATTATTTTTTACATTTTGCTATTATTTGGAATCATACAAAAGAAATTAAAAAGTCTCTGTTTTTAATTTTCTTACCTGAGCCGATAACGAAAATTTAAAAAATGCGTTTCATAGGTCTCGGTAATTTGTATGTATATTGAAAATTTCATCGGAATCAGTTAACGTAGAGTTGAGCTACAAGCGTTGAAAGATTTAAAAAATGATAGATTTTTGATAGGTCTTGGTCGAAAAGTATTAGAAATGGGGGCAGAATTGCGATTTTTGCCATCTTTAATTCTTCAAAGCTCATATCACTGTCATCCGATTTCGATGAAATTTTTAACATGCATATAAGTTACCGAGATCTACGAAAGGCATTTTTTAAACTTTCCTTATATGCTCAGATAAAAAAGTTAAGAAACGTGAGTCTTTTATTTTTTCTTTTCATTTATTTAATCGCAAAATTAAAAAGCACACAGTATTTTAGTCATTGTCTAGTAGGCACATCGTCTGGTCTAGTTATAAAAATATATTGCATTTTAAAGGGTGTGCAAATACATTTGTCCGGTACTGTATGTACATTATACTGATGTTCTTGCAATATCAAAACTGCAGTAATATGTACAATATATTTGCAAGTGAAGAAGATGCGATAATGCTGTTTACAATTATCTAAATTCATTCAGTAGTACAAACGCTGTTTTTAACTTGATAATTAAAAAATTGTATTCATCTTCGAAGTCGCGTTACGATTTGCGACAAAAGTGGAAGTGGAAGTGGAATTTAAACAGCTGTACGAACGTCATTGTCACAGCGAGGTACAAAAACGGACAGAGAAACCAAAAAATACAGTAAATTCTCCTAAATTGTCCCTCGGCTTGGAAACAAAAATGGACAATTTTTATACGTGTTGATAATCGGCGACTTTAAAAACCAAATTGTCACCTCTTCCCAAGTTGTCCATTTTTGTTTACAAATTGAGGGACAATTGGAGAGAATTTACCGTATCTATGTGCAAATTTTACCGATATTAAGGGGGTATTTTAGTGTGAACTTTTGAAAAAATTAATCTTTTCTTGCATCTTCTTAAAGGATATAGTTTCAAAACTACATCTCTGGAATCTTACATGCGAACTCCTAAAATTAACGAAACTACAGTTGTTTCAGTTTGAAAGATACGACGACTTTATATCATTATCGATATACTAAACATTAAAGGCATTGTTTTCGAAACTATGTTTTCCAAAACGATGTCCACGACATCTCAACATCTACTTGACCAATTGACTCAAAATTTTCAGTACACATTTAGTACATGAATCGTCCTGGAATCAATTAAAATTTTTTATTCTTTTCTATTCTTTTAGGCTTCCGAAGTTTAAAAAAACATGCAAAAATCGATAATCGAATTTCAAAGTAACTCCACCTTTTTAATTAGCGACTTTTTTCTTTTGTTCTAGTACCTGCTATAACCAAATTCGTACTAATTAAGGAACTTCCACGTTTTTTTTCTTTCAAACAAGCAGAATGACCGAAATCATGGACACCGTGAGACGATCTTTTTAAAAAATGACTATGAGAGTATGCCACTAATTTTAACTTTTTTTTGTTCCAAAAAATATTGAAACTTCGCTAAAATAGGTAGAAATAAACCTTGTCAATTTGACTGAAAAGGATATAATAGTTTCTTTGTAAAAAATTCCCTAATAATAATAATAAACTAAAAATAAATAAAGTAATAATAAATTAATAATTATAAAATGGTAATAAAAAATAACAATAATAAAGTTAAAAATACACGCACTTCACACTAGAATACCCGCTGAAGTTTCTGGTTGAAAGTCGCGAAACTTTGAGAAGTCGAGCGTACCTTAAACAACCTTGGCTGGCCTTCTTGAACGCTTTACAGTTGTTTAAAAGGTTTCTATTCAGATGAAGACGGATGTCCGCCTGAAGGCACTCTGGGAACCCTTTCAGAACACTGTTCATGTCGATCCCGTTCGTATAGGTCCACGCGTGCTGGAAGTACTCCTCCAGCCGGTGGCGGAGCGGATTCGGGATCTGGTGGAACCGTATGAACTCGCGGACGCGAAGCATCTGTGTGTGGTATCGAGTCGTGCCGCTGTACAGCCTCTGTATGATCGCCGAGACGTTACCGAAAATACTGGCGTACATCAGAGCTGCGGAGAAGCGTTCATTAGTTATCGTGGAAACAACGTGTATCGAAGGAGGACGAGAAAAGAATCTGGGCGATCGAGTAATCGGTTTTCGAGAACAAAAGATCCAAGATATACAGTAATGTCTCTCTAATTGACGCTCAGATTGTCCACAAAAATGGACAATTTTGGAAGAGGAGATACGATTGTTCGAGCCTTGAGGCTCGTTTTTTATGGTTCTCGATTGTCAACAACTATAAAAATGAGGTGCGAGACTCGAATAATCGTATCTCCTCTTCCCAAGTTGTCCATTTTTGTGCACAATCTGAGCGTCAATTAGGGAGACATTATTGCAATTCGATTGTATCAAAAAAGAAAGTCTGAAAAGTAGGCAGTGTAATTGGAGGAAAGAGGGGTAACGATAATTACGACGGTATATTTAACAAGTTAAGTGTTGGAAATGAAAGCAAAATAATTTAATGAACACTGAACCTACCATGACCGGTCAGATGACTGTTTTTAAACTTTTTGGTAAAATGGGTCTTACAAATATTGTTATCACATCGCCATTTGATTTTACGACTTTTATTATAATTTACATCTAATGTATTTTTCAATATTTATTTCCCAATTATTACTTTTTTTACTGAGAAATATATGCAATTTGACCTGACTACCGCGTCCATAAAATATATTTTTACTATAATAATAGTATTTTTACTATAATATTATAGTAGTATTTTTACTATACAATAGTATTTTTACTATTGCACATTTACTATTGCAAATATTGCATAATTATGCTATGTTTGTTGATACCTATTGAATGTTCGATTTCATTCTTAGTTTGACCATTTCAAGATATCACAAGATATTTTGTGAGTCAAGAATTTTGTATTTCATTGTTATGTTGATAATTCCGATCTCAAGAAATTGAAGACATTTCAAATTAATGGAAGAAGTAAATAATGTAGCTGAAGAGAGTTCGAGATCTAGCGAAGGAGGACTATAAAGAAGAAATCGCTATCGTTGGAACCATCCGTGGAAATAAAAAGGAACTATCATAATTTGCAAAACAAGCGAAAGTTGATATATACTTTTTAACAGAACTGTATAAAGCGAATCATCGTACATTTAGAATTCATAAAAGTAAGTCAAATAAAAATGTGCTTTTATTAACCTCGAAGTAAAAATGTCTAAAAAAATTGAAGAAGCGTATACCAATATTTCATGAAATCGAAATGTCGAAAATAGTCTGTGCAAGTTTTCTTTAATATTCTTGATTTAATCGGAATAAACTCGTGGGTGTTATACAGGGTGTCCCAGTGTCGGTGGTACAACTGAGAAGAGGGTAATTTTACACCAAAAAAGCAAGTAAAGAATAAGGAATAAAACGATTTCATTTGAGGTTTTGTTGCCGTGAAAATCGACTTTGAATATTCAAACATGAGTTTTTTTATTCTTTTTGTCATTCGAAGCAATAGTAAAATTGGGTTATTCTAGTTATGGTCTAATAGACTGGTTTTCTATCATCTAAAAAAAAAATTCAAGTTGTTTAGTCCAGTTCTAAGAAAGTTATTCCGTTTTAAAAGGCCTTCGAATACTTTCGTTACCTACTGTAACTATGGTTTAGAATAGTTTAGATGTATGGATCTCGATAGAAGTCATATGTCACTTATAAATAGTACTAATATAAGCAGTACCGCGATGTACTGTGCTACTTATTTCTATCTATGGATTTAAACGAAAATAAAACATGTAATTTAGTTAGAAACTTTTTCTGAAAGGAAAATTCATGCAAAAATCCTTCGAAATGCTGAATATTCAAAATCGATTTTCGCGATAACCATGCCTTAACTGAACAAATTTTATTCTTTATTTTCGATTTGTTTTTTCATGTAAAATCACCCCCTTTTCGGTTGCATCACCGATGCTTGGACACCCTGTACAAAGGAGTAATCGGGGAAAAATTTCTACCTAGCAATTTTTATTCAAATTATTTTATTCAAATTTATGCAACAGAAAAAACAGGAATATGTACGGGAAAGGTCAACAAATTAAGATTTCATGTGCGAGAAAATAGTTTCAAAAAAGACATCGCAAAGAAAACAAACCTGCAAAAATCCGTTTCAAATGAAAAAGAACCAAATCATTTGCAAAATATGCGCTGAACGTGAAAAATTGTACTAAACGGTACAATGTTAATTGGTAGGTGTAACGTTAAACCTATCATGATCAAAATAATCGGTTTCTTGCTTGTATTTATAATTCTGCAAACTTTAGAGACACTTTTATGGGAAATGTTTGGATAAATTATGTTCTTGGAGTAAGTTTTATAATAAAAATTTTACAAAGTCTAAATAAATTCGATCTCACTTTTACAAGGCAATAGACACCAGTCACTATTACTGCTGAATCGGATTAGTGTTATGAAACTGAAACTACAAAGTTAGTTTTAATTACACAGTTACGCAGTAAATGATATGCCAACTCTTTTGCATTTTAAAAATTCTACTAAAATCGAATTTGTTCAAATATGTTACAATAAATACGAATATTGTAGATTAAGTCAAGAATTAGTATCATTCATATGTAACGACTTGTGACCGTGTGTTTTTAAACGCAATAACTTTTTTAAAACTGGACTAAATGATTAGAATTTTTTGAACATATTAGCGGGACTAGTTTACTGTACAATTATTGAAATACTTTTTTTCTAAATTTTGCTATTACTTGGAATGACAGAAAAAAGAAAAAACCCTCATTTTTTTTAAATTTTTTATCTCGGTCTATAAAGAAAATGTAAAAAAAGTGTTTTGTAGATCTCGGTAACTTATATGCATGCTGAAAATTTCATCGAGATCGGTTAAAAATTGCGAATTATTTAAAGATCGCGAAAATTGTAGTTTCATGGCGATCTTTTACACTTCTGACTAAATAAAAAATTCAGAAATCTGCAGATTTATACATCTTTCAACGTCTGTAGCTTGACTCTAATAGCGTTAACCGATTTAGATTTTCAGCGTGTACATAAATTAGCGAAATCTACGGAACGCATTTTTAACATTTTCTTTGTAGACTGAGATGAAAGAGTTAAAAGAACTGGAGTTTTTCCTTTTTTTGTCATTCCAAGTAATAACAAAATTATAAGAGAGTATTTCAGGCATTGTACAGAAAACTAGTCCAACTAACACTTAAAAAAGATTCGAGTCATTTAGTCCAGTTTTGAAAAAGTTATTGAGTTTTGTGAAAGGCGTTTCTTAACTTTTCTCTGTAAGTGTATGTATTATATGTATAAGAAAACATTATGTATAACCGGAAGCCCGATCTAAACCACGCCGCACGGGCTACTTACTACTAATAATAATTATTATAATAATAATAACATACAGTAAAAGAAAAGGGGGCCGTTAATGGGGAGGAAACTCCGTTTAGGTAATGCAACATCTACTCACATCCGATCAGCATAACGGCTATCGTAAAGATTTTCTCGGTGTCCGTATTCGGCGCTACGTTTCCAAAGCCCACCGACGTTAAACTACTAAAGGTGAAGTACAGTGCTGTGATATAGAGACTCTGAAATCGAACAGACGAACAAAAGGATTAGTTTCCCGGTAGCAATGGCGGCGCAGCCTTTACACGCGAAACAAAATACATCGATTCGGGGTCGCGGTTACAGACGTCGACACGGCAACACGCCACACAGTGGTGCATTTGGTCAAAAAGCAGCAAAAAGTCTGTGAAAAAGAAAACGAACTATCAAACAGAATTAGGATTTTGCACGTTGGACGGTTGTTTCAAAATTATAGGTGAAATAATAGCTGAATTATGTTTTAATTAATTACAATTTCTTTAAATTCAAACGACTACAGAGTTTGAAAACATTTGTTCCTTGATTTACTTGAAAATTAATTTATTGGCTTGACAACTAAGTAATTGCCGATTTGCTCAATCAAATAAAAATTTTTTTTTACTTGGAATGAAGTTTAATCTGTAATGTATTTTCCATTTTGTTCGATGACCTTTTGCCATCTCTCTGACAACTTGAAAATTCCACGCTCGTAGAAAGTCTGATCCTTTTCGGCCAAAAACTGAGTTAAGTGAGATTTTACAGCGTCATCGTCATTAAAAGTTTTACCACGAAGGGAGTTGTCCAAGGATCGAAATAAGTGGTAATCCGATGGCACGAGATCATGGCTATATGGTGGGTGTAACATCAATTTCCGACCAATATCCATCAATTTTTGCCAAGTGGACAAAGACGTGTGCGGCCTAGCATTGTCCTGGTGGAAAATGACACCTTTACGATTGACCAATTCTGGTCGCTTTTCCTTGACCGCTGCATTCAATTTGTCCAGCTGCTAACATTCACGGATAATAACAAATAACATAATAATAATAATAA